ATCATAAACAAAGCTTTGAGAATTTGTCCGAAATGTTTGCAAAATAATCTCAAAATAGTAAAAATAAAATATCCCAAAATGTCTAACAACCCAAAAATGAAAAATACAACTTAAATTTATAGAAACTAAATCTTAGTAAGAGAAAATAAATTGAAAATTTGTCTGAGCAGTTTCAATATAGAATTGGAGCTCCTCTTCTCTGATTCAATCGACGATCAACATCCACGATCCAACAGTCAGACTATGATCTGTTATTTGCACATGTGGTTCCACACTTTGGTCAAACTTCCTTGAACAATTGACCCATGGCTCCCACCTACGGCTCGTGAAGAGAATGATGGCTCGTGAGTGAGCTTGTAGGTTGCCAAATTCCTCCTGGTTCAACTATATTCAACTTCAACTGCTTCAAACCATTTCCTACAAAATTAGGCCAAAAACCACCATATCTAATAACAAAATTGCCTACGAAGCACACAAACTTCAAGTATAATGTATTAAAATACTGTAAACTCACGGTAGATGAAGTATTAACTTACTAATTTCTCCCGCTGCACTTATGAGAGCCACAACTACCCTTCTCTCTCTTCAAATGTCATTTGTATCATGTACATGGACAGTCCGGTGGTTGCAGTGATATGTAAGCTCTTCTAATGGATAAATACTTTTGGAAGAAAAAAACATTATGTGAGCTACTCTTTTATCACCATGGTCATACATGACATTTTGAGCATAAAGATTTGGCGAGCAACTATGATTGATAAATATACCAACATTTTCATATATCGTTGCATCAATAGTAAATCTATTTTCATCCTTTCTTTTAAAAGAATTAGACTCGACTTTACTACTTACAGCCTTCCTTTTGGGGATATATTCATTATAGTTGCCAACATCAAAGAAGTACTAGTCATAATCCGTTCCAGCTTGACTTCCTTGTGATCAAGCAATTCTCTCATATATTCACAAATAAAACTTTTGCGTGCAATATAATTTGATGAACTCAAAACTCATCCTTTCGATTTGGTTTTGAAAACCTCGAAATGAAACCCAAGACCACGTTGGCTAACCCTATTTTTGCAATTCGGAAGACATTTGCAATATAGACCACACTTATGAACAAGAGGTTTTGCTTCAAGAATAGAGCTTCTCCGGTTAAATGGAAACTCGCCTCTGCTCTTAGAAGCACAAGAGCACGGCTCAAAAGCCGAGCATCTACTTGGACAACTACAACCTAGAGGTCGAATGATATAATACCAAACGGGATACTGCATGTTAGTAATGTATGTGAAAGGTGGGGGTCTCTCGTTATCTATTTCATTAATAGCGAGGATTGGTATATTCTCCTTCCCTTAAGAGATATCATAGTCCATAACAAACTTTGACTGTGTAGTAGATTTTGTTGCCTTGTAAACATTTTCACAAATATGATTGAGATTGACAAACTAATTAAGTTCTGGTTGGCCAAGATTTCTCTGCAATTCAAACTTGAAACGTATTTTCCAGTTAAACCTCTTTCTTGCCAACACTTAGTCACAGTGTACAACCCATAGTAAATGTATTTTCGCTCGGTCTTTTCACCATTAACTCTTGGACAACCATAATAACCCTCACTGAATATCCCAAATCCATTTAGTTCTTCAAGGCAAGATTATCCCTTTCAAGCTTCTGATCTTCCACTCTCGCATAACAAATACTCTAGGTTTTCTTCCTTGACCTACATAAATGAACTTTTGAGAAGATATGGTTTCATTCTCGTATTGATCAGAATCAACATTGCTAGTTGCAACCTTTTTTATATTAATATTCACATAATCGATACCCCTAAAAAATATATGACGTAGTCCGACCATAGCAAGTTCTACCTTGAACTGGAATCGATCACCAATCTCAACTCCAGGAACATGGCCAAACGCCCACTCAGAATTTACCCACTTTTCCTGATTTCTCAAAATCATTGCATCCTTTATATTGATTATTCTTTTAGAGTGTCTTCCTTGTTTTTCTTCTTTCTTTTCTCGCAAAAGCTTAGTATCTTCATCAGCAAAAAGTTTGAGAGTCTCTATAACTTGTTTTCGTTTCTAAATATGCTCATATTCAGAATAGTGGGCAATTTAGATCTATTTATACTACGCCAACCGTTTGAAAACCATTAACATCTTGTATAAGCTGATGTAATTTTGGCAACATCCAACTTATGATTAATCAAGACATCATGATGTTGAACATTGTTTCCATTGTTTGGACGAACCGATGGAAGATAATTTTCTGGAAAATTGTTCATGCTATGAACTCTTAGGCACTTAAATATCGATAGAGATCTAGTACCAATTATCTGGTGAAGTTTCTTCGCTCGTAACTTCTTTCAAGTACTTAAGTCTACCGGCACAAACGACATCTACAAGTACATAAAATTCATCCTATAAGTTCAGTACAGAAAAGGGTCAAAAATACCCTTGAACTATCAGAAATAGCTCAAATACCCTTGAAGTATATTTCGGCTCAAATATACTCTTACCGTCAAATTATAGGGTCAAAAATACCCTTCTCATTAACAGAATCGGTTAAATGACACTTAGATGCCATGTGGATGTCACATGGCATTCCACATAAGCCAGTAGACTTTCACTCATGCCACGTAGACTAATAAACTTACCCCTAATTTTCTCCATTTTCCGTAGAATTTAGAAACGATTTAACTGAAGAACATAGAACTCCTTTTCCTCATTTCTCCATTTCCTTAGAACGATTTCACAAAATACATAAGTTCTTAGGGAAAGGGGTTTCATGTTCTTCAGTGAAATCGTTTCTAAATTCTAAGGGAAATAGAGAAAATTGGGGAAATTAGGAGTAAGTTTATTTTCTACGTGGCATGAGTGAAACTCTATTGGCTTATGTGGCATGTCATGTGGATACCACATGGCATCCAAGTGGCGTTTAACAGATCCTGTTAATGAGAAGGGTATTTTTAACCCTATAGTTTGAGGGAAAGAGTATATTTGAGCCGAAATATAGTTCAAGGGTATATTTGAGCTATTTCGAATAGTTCAAGGGTATTTTTGACCCTTTTTCGAATTCAGTATACATAGCAAACAGTTTTACAAAAACACTAAAACATTGCATGATTATAAACATTGACACGACAAGGCGTTATGAATGTTTGAATCAAACTGGAAAAAGGATGTTACATCAAAGAAAAAAAACATCATGAAACAAAAAGAAGTGAACTAACAGAGTCTACCTCATTGACTACACATTTTTCTTGTATCACTTGAGAAGAAGTGAATGCTGAAGGAGAATTACCTTCCCCTAACAATTCATAGAACACATATTGAGCAATTTTTTGACAGTATCTAAGCCAACTTATTTTTCAATATGCTATGTGCCCCTTCCTTTTTGTTATTTGCTTCCGGCAACTCATTGTTGACAAAATCAGCAGTTGCACTAACATGCGAAGAGAATGCTTGTTGTAGCATTTTCATAATTTCCATCAGCTCACTGATTGCAACAATTAATTTGTCAAATATCCTCAATAGGCAGTGACTTCCCTCGCAGCTGTTGTAGTTCCCAAAGCATCAATAATCATGCTTGACGTGGTGTTTGCACCTTCTAACAGTAACATTTGATCACGAAGAGGCAAATGGAAATTTTCAACCTGGTCGACTTGCTGTTCATCAAGCATTTGCTTTCGCAAATAAGGTATTGTAGCCTTTTTCTTTTGTTCACCAAGAAAATCTTTCGCTCTTTCAACCTCAAAGCAATATTTTATAAATAAAATTGCCTTATTTACAAGATCCTCAAGCATCATTCCATCTTTGATCCAACAGTGATCAAACTTACAAATTTGAAGTTTGAGATTAAATAGTTCAAACTAATCAGGAGTCAAGCTAACCTTGGCATCAGAAAAGATGTGACTACTCCTTTTTGAAATGGTTGTAACGGGATATCCTAATGACATTAACCCATAAAGAGTCGAATACAACTCGCAAAGATGATCTATAAGACAACAACTAAGCAGTCATCAACCCATTCAACAACTGAGTGACCATTAGACAACTGAAGGTGGTTAAGACCAGTCAGTAAAACACTACTGTACCATTTCTCATATTGGAGGTCATCATTCAGAACATCATAGACAAAGCTTACACCTATTGTTCGATTGCTGCAAGACCATTTGAGGTTCCCCAAACGTCCAAATACTGTTCTTGCACATTGACTTGTCACAAAAATATGCAATACTTGGTCAGCGGAGATTATAAACCCAGGCCAATTGCCACTTCGCAGAACACCTATTGTTCGATTGATTGCGACATCAGATCTATACCATAAATCAACAGGCCCCTCACCTATGGTATTTAGCTACTCCAACAACCCAAGCACAATAAAACTATTGTCTCCGTGATAGGAAGCAACTCTACTGTATGGCTGCCAGGACAAGTAGAAGTTGAAAAAATAAAAATACTGGATGAAGTCATATGCATCAATATACTTCTCTAATGCACCAGAAGAATTCAACCCCAACAGCATGGGTTAGCAGTTACGCAAGGATATTCAATATGTCTAATACTTGTAATATCGTTACACATGTCACAGAGGAATATGAGACGTACACACCAGGATCAAATAGAAGTTGTAGGTATTTAATCATATGGACCAATGTGATTCTATCCATAATCATACAGAGGGAGAAATGGTCTTGTGTATTGCATATCCAACATCAAGAATAAGAAGCTGAGAATCCAAATGTGATTTCACAGTATCAGAAATCTCAGTGTCATTATCATCGCAAGCTGACTCTAGCACAGAGGTCATAGTTTTATCATCTGAAATATCTGTAGTCCAATCGCATCTCCTTGAGCATACACTTGTTTTTTGCCTGTAGATCCTTCATCGATTTTTGCAGAACCTTCAACGATTCAGATTTCAGAGAGGGTGATGAATTGATCATCAAGCATGGCAGAAGAGTAAAGAGGCATGGAGTAAGAACAATGAAAGCACCAATGTAATAAACTCATATTGTATTAAAATGGATAATTGGAATTACACGTACAACTATAAGAGTTCATCATTCTAATTCCTCCAAAACTAGTAACAAATCCTTCCAAGGGAACAAGTAGAAACAAAAAGGATGAAGGAAGGAAGGTTCCAGATTAGAAAGAAACTAAGAAACAAGAGACAAGTTCATAGCATAATCCTAATTGAGTATTTCCCTCTTCTATATATATGAATTTTCTCAGGGTCCCAAATGTAATTTGGCATCTCCTCACATAGGTCCTCCAGCTAAGTTATATTCATAACACTGTTACTCTACTTGTTGCTGCAGATTCTCAAAAACAGAGTTCCAGCGAATATAAGAAATGTGACATTTGTTTCTTATAAGAGAAGCGACTCGCTTCATTCTTCACTGAGTTCTCTCTTAGTTCATCACTACTTCTCATAATTTGTAACAAGGCCTTAAGCTTTCCTTCATCTTTATACAACAAACGAAATCCATAATTCTTGGTGTTTTTCCATTTACCTTAGATGTATCCAATAAGGCAGCAAGTGGTACCAAGAAAAAATGAATCTCAGCTGACGGACAACGTAATGAACGGCTGTAGAGTACTTGGGCCGTATTCAAATGGTATTTTTGTTCAGGCTTTGGGAGCCACTTAGATCTAGCTGCCGCAGAGACGGTAATTGCTGCTATTCAAAACACAGGAAAGAAAAAGGGTAATTTGCCAAGATTGAAAGTGCAATTTGTAGAGGCTAAACACCTCTGCTTTTGATATATAGTCATAATATAAGAACAATTCAAATAATATAAAGTATTGCTAACATTTGTATTTCAAATAGTACTTAGTACTGAAAACCATATTTCCAAAAGCAGAAAAGAAGTATAATCTATCCAAAAAACTGAATCAAATCTAAATGGATCCTACAACATCTATGATTGACTCAGTTTCACTAGAGTAGGCATTTATACACCAAAAGCATAACAACAAAATAAACTTAAGCTTAACTTCCTGCAGGTTGTTGTTCCTATTCTCAAAACATCTCTCGTTTCTCTCCGTCCGTATAGTCCGCAAATACTAGCAGGGATCATCCTCCATCTTTCTCTGTTTGTAGCCCCAACTCCAACCATCTCCCAACCGAGTAGAGTCTCATCAATCTTGCTAGGCATACACCAAGATATGCCTCTGAGATTAAGGAAAATCTGCACATCTGCCCAGTAAAGTTGCAATGTAAGAAGAGATGTCTCACTGTCTCATTAGCCTTCCCACACAAGGAACATTTGTTGCATAGAGAGATTCCTCTCTTGGCCACATTATCTAATGTCAAAACTGCTTCATTGGCTAGTAGCCATTTAAAGCATGCCACTTTGTGTGGCACTTTGATCCTCCAGATTTGCTTCCAAGGCCATTTGAAGTCTTCAATGCCACCAGTACTTATCTGTTTGTATCCTTCTTTCACCTTGTAACTACCTTTCTTGTGCCCCTGCCACCATAAATAATCCTCGCCTGTTTGTATACCTTGAAAATTCTCCAAAACCTTGAACAATTCAAGTATCCTGGGAATTTCCCGGTCATTTAGATTTCTTCTGAAAATCAGATATTGTGTCCGCATTTCAGCGACAATCTTCTGTTGGTGTTGAGCCAGTGCAAAGATGTCAGGAAAACTATCTTTGAGGCTCATACCACCCAACCATTTATCAAACCAGAAACTGGTTTTTCTGCCATTTTGTACCTTGACAGTTGACTGATTACTGAAGAAGGGCCAAAATATTCGGATGGATTTCCAAAGGCTAACCCCATAGGGGGTATTTACCTCTTTGGTTACCCATTTATTTAGCTCCTCGTATTTGTTGTTGATCTCCCTATACCATTGGTCCCCCTGATGGTACCTCATAACCATTTCACCTTAAGAGCTTTGTTATGGTTTTTGAGATTCTTGATACCTAATCCACCTTACATCTTACTAATGGGGATGTTCTTCCACTTGACTAAGTGAAAGCCTTTTCTTTCCTTATTTCCTTGCCACAAGAAGTTTCTTCTAATTTTGTCCAACCTCTGAACTACTGGGGAATATGGAAGATAGATAGCATATATGTAGGGAGAGCATCCAGAACAGAGTTTATCAGTGTTAATCTACCTCCCAAGGAGAGGTATTATGATCTCCATCTGGCTAGTTTTGTTTTCACAATTTTTCATTATTGGGTTCCAAATGTCTATGGCTCCAGACTTTGCCCCCAAAGGCATGCCCAAGTGTACTGATGGCAGAATACCTATCACTCCTCCCAAGGTTTGTGAGAGGTGTTCCATATCCGGAACCCACATTAATTGGATACAAATGGCTTTTGTTCCAGCTTATATGTATACCATATATTGCTTCAAAGTAGACTAGTATAAGTCTCAAAATCAGCAATTGCTCTTCCTCAGCCCCACAAAATATTAGTGTATCATGAGCATATTGTAGGTGTGTGATCTCCATACTATTCCCAGCAACCTTACTGACTTCAAATCCCTGTCCAGTTGTCTTGGCTATCTTCAATAGCTATGATGAAAAAGAAGGGTGATAAGGGATCCCCTTGCCTAACTCCTCTGTGTGCACTGAAAAAGCCTTCAAGAGACCCATTGATGAGTACTAAAACTTAACAGTTGAAATACAAAACTTGATCCAACCGATCCATCTGCTACCAAATCCCATTTGTCTGAGCATAATTAGAATGAAATCCCAATTCACATGGCCAAATGCTTTCTCAATATCTAGTTTGCATAGTATACACTGGGACACTCTAGAATCAATTGCTTCATTAGCAATAAGCACTGCTTCCATGATCTGTCTGCCTCTGATAAAAGCCTTGTTTGTCTACCTACTTATCCACAACTCCTTAAGTGCTTTTAAAAAATTAAGGGAGCATTGTCAATCCAAAAGGCATCACTAAGAACTCATTGTTGCCAGAACATGTTCTTAATGCGGTTTAGTGGATATCAGATGTGGCCATCCTGATTTGATGGTATCCAGACATGAGATACCATTGGGAACCCAAGTTCATCCAGAAGCTCTTCAATAATAGTTATCTTTGATAGTAATCTGATTCAGAGCCATGTAAAAGCTGTCCAAACTTCCAAAATACAGCAAGCCAAAACTCTAGTTAATTACAAAGAAAAATTGAGTTCAATGATCAACACCAAGAGCTAAGATGAACTAAAAAAATCCAGTTGATTAATTCACAACCATAAGCATACATGACAGAAAATGAAGAGAATCAACAAAATACCATTAAATGAACAATCATATCGTGTTGATTCAATGAAAAATTTACTTATGAATAGCAATGGCGAAAGAATCAAGTTGTTATTTAAGCTGTGTATGAGCGTTGATGTTTTGATGATTGAAAACAAATTTTGGACCTGATCCCCAGATGAAGCTGTGAGTTCCGTACAAGAAACTAAAGCTATCCAAAAGCCTGCAAAAACTGTTGTGGATGGTGCACGACTCCCACTGTACAACAACCCTTTAGCCAATGAGATTATTTTGTGTGTTTGTGCTCATCCTATAATATGTCTATTCTCCATTATCACACACAAGCTTTTTGAAATCAGAGTTTTCCTCAATCATAGTTATTCTCTTAAGAAAATATCACTCAACAACAACTGGAGGACCTGATAGAGTTGTCTATTCTTACTTGTTGGAGTGTATATTTTAGTGCTTAATCTTGTAAGATCTAATACTGGTCTATAAAGGAATTAGATCGTTGGAAGTCCTTGTTGAGTTTTCCGATTCCTGGCTAGAGTTAGCTATGTTAGATTATTGAAGTCTATATCAACTAGAGTTAGTTGGTGTAGTGGGAAACTAGTTGTTGCTTAGTGGAATTCTATATCAGCTAAGTTAGTTGGTGCAGTGGGCAACTGAGTTGTTGTTTGGTGCAGTGGAGTTGTTGTTAGTTTTATTCCCTGATCCTTGAGATCTGAGTTGGTGGCTAGAGGTAGCCTTGTTAAGGTCCTAAAGTCTAGGTCAGCTAGAGTTAGTTGGTTTAGTAGGCAACAAAGTTAGTGCTTAGTTCTTTACCGATAGTAGAGTCGCTACAGTAAGGGAGAAGGGATTAGAGAGTTCGTAATCTGAACTGTTGCTCCTTTTATAGTTAAATGGAGTTGGGTTTAAAATCCTGTGAGCATAGGTCATGGTTTTCTCCTGCCTTGAGCAAGGGGTTTCGACGTGAAACTGTTGTGTTTGTTTTACTTTGAGTTACTTAATTTCTTCATTTATATTCTGTCAGGGACCTGATTCATTGACTATTAGTGGACGCATATATTGTGAGTGTGCTTAGTATGAAGGAAAATATTTTCCAATTTTTTCATGTTTGGTTGGGACAAAAGTTTTGGAAAATGTTTTCCAAATCAACTCATTTTCCTCAAAATTAAAAAAAAAATGACTTCCCTTCAAAAATTAAGAAAAATATTTTCCAAAACTCTCCTCCAATTTAAAATTAAATTTTTTTTTGGAAAACATCAATTTTAGAAAAACATTTTCGATTTCAAAAAAAAATCACTCGATCCCTGACCCCCCCCCACCGGCCAGCCCCCCAACCCCACCCCCTCCCCAAAAAATTAATTTTGTTTTTTAAAAATAATTTCAACTTTCAATTTTTATTTTTGAACTCCTACTCCACCCCCCGGCTCAGCCCCCCTACAACCCCAAAAAAATAAATTTGATTTTTTAAAATTACAATCAACTTCAAATTTATTTTTTCACTCCTACCCCCTGCCCCCACCAACTACCCCCACCCCATCCCCACCACCACCCCAAAAAAATAATAATTTTGTTTTTAAAAAATATTTTCAAATTCATAAATTATTTTTTACTCTAGTAAGAATAAAAGATGTCTCTCAAAAACATTTTTCATTCATAAATTAAACGCTAAAAATCATTTCTGGAAAATATTTACTCATCCACCAAACATGAGAAAATAAGTTCAAAATCTACTTGTTTTCCATGAAAACATTTTCTAGGAAAACATTTTCCATGGAAAGCATTTTCCTCCATACCAAACACACCATGTATCACAAGTGTTGCAATCGTGTACAAATTTCACTACTTAGCTTGAGAGGAAAATAGACATTTGCTTTTAAGATAAATGATTCTTTTAAGGATTATGGTCCAGCCTGGCTGGTAAGTAAGCCTTATTTTAACAAGTCTAAAACGTAAATGACAAGTGCAAAGATTATAAAAATTATGCTTTAAACATCATCTCAAGAGGGATAGTATTACATGAGTAAAACTTTAGTACATTCTCCCCTCGCACTTCTGAGAGCCACATATACAGTTCTTTCTCTTCATATTACTATTTTTATCATAAACATGACCATAGTTGTAGTGATACGTAAACTCCTCGAATGGTGCTATACTCTTAGAAGCAAAAAACATTATATGAGGTACTCTCCTATCACCATGGTAATACATGACATTTTGAGCATAAAGGTTTGGTGAGCAACTATGGTTGATAAATCTTCCAACATTCCCATATCTAACTGCATCAAGGGCAAAGCCATCTTCATCCTTCCTCCCCAAAGAATCTGACTCAACTTTGAGGTTATTATTACGCATAGGATTCCTTTTTGGGATTTCTTCATCATAGTTGCCAACATCAAACAAGTACTCATCATTATCTATTCTACTTTCAGCTTCCTTTTCATCAAGCAACTCCCCAACATATTCACATATAAAACTTCCGGATGAGACACGATCTCGTGACCTCAAACCCCATCCTCTCGATTCTGTCTTGAAAACCTCCAAATGGTCTCGAGGACCGTGTTGGCTAACTCTATTTTTGCAAGAAGGGGGACATTTGCATGACGGACCACACTCATAAACAAGAGGTTGTGCTCTAATAATAGAGCCTCTTGTGTTGAATGGAATCTCACCTCCGTTCCTAGAAGCACAAGAGCATTGCTCAGAATCGGAGCATCCACTTGTGCAATTGCAACCTTGAGGCTTAGAGATGTAATACCAATCTGGATACCGTATGCTGGTAATGTAAGTAAATGATGGGAGTCTCTCATCATCTATTGCATTGACAACACAAATTGGTATCTTCTCTTTTCCTTGCGAGACATCATTGTCCACAACAAACTCTGACTCCATAATCGATTTTGTTGCTTTGTTAACATGAAAATGATCTACCTTGCCTAAACTTGTGGGTCGTGACACTACTTCACGATTAAGTTTTGGTTGGCCAGGATTTCTCTTCAGTTCAAACTTGAAAACATATTTTCCAGTTGGAGCTATTTCTTCCCAACACTTGGTCACAGTGTAGAGCCCATCGTAAATGTATCTTATATCACTCTTTTCACCATTCACTCTTTTTCGACCACAAATAACTCTCACCGGACATCCCATGTCCATGGAGTTCTTCAAGGCAAGATTACCCCCTTTAAGCTTTTGATCTTCCACTCTCGCATTTATAGATACTTTTGGATTCCCGCCTTGACCTACATAAATGAACGTTTCAGAAGATATGGCCTCGTTATCGTACCGACCAGAATCAACAATGCTTGTTGCAACATATTTTCTGCCAATATTCACATAATTGATACCATTCATAAATTGGTGATGTAATCCGATCATAACAAGTTCTGCCCTGAACCGGAATCGATCCCCAATTTGAACTCCAGGAACATGCCCAAAAGTCCATTCACAATTTACCCACTTTTTCTGATTTTTCAAAGTCATTGCTGCCTCTATATGGATTTTTCTTTTGGATCGTCCTTCAGGATTCTCTGCTTTATCTTCTTGCAAAAGCTTAGTATATACGTCATCAAAAAGTTTCAGAGTCTTTCTAACTTGTTTTACTTCATGAATATGTTCATATTCAGTTGAGAATCCATGACCAGAAACACCACACATGACAGCAGAGTTCCTTGAATTTTCTTGAGGAACTCCGAGATCCATTTGCTTCTTCATGAACACAGATTCATATTGCTGCTCAGGACGTATGATGTCGGGCAATGGCTTGAAATCTTCTAAAATATCTGAGCACTTGTGTATGATCTCGCCCTCCTTGCCACCTTTCTTACCATCCTTGAGAGCTGATGTTAGTGAGTTCCACTCGGAGCATGTTAAAATGGAAATGTCATCATCATCTACCCAACTCCTGGACTCATCATCAGAAACTTCTTCGCGGTGTACGCTCTGGCATGTTTCCTTACTAGGCTCATCATTTTGACAGTCAATTAGATTTTCTTGTGAAACAATAGCAGGTCCATTTTCAATAGGCTCATCTTTTATAAACCAATCAAAAGTATCAGTTGACTGCTTTTGGACTTGATGATGTTGAGTAGATTCATCGTATATAACATTTTCTTCTTTCAATTTCAAAGGTTGGTTTCCAGTTGCCTCGAAATTACATGATTCAGCTGACTCGACTTCAGAACAACTGTTGTTATCAGCGTCAACAGAGCATTGAGTATCACTTCCATCCCTCTTTTGAGGGCCACAATTCTCAGGAAAACTCCTCCTAGAGTCTACTTTTACACGCTTGGTATTAGATGGAAATTCCGGGTAGATCTTTCTGCTTCCATTGTTTTGACAAACAAATGGACCACAATTTTCAGGAAAATTGCGGGTAGCATGAATTTTTAGACGCTTAAATGTGGAGGGAGATTCAGTATCAACCATCAGACAAAGTTTCTTCTTGCCTAACATCTTTGTTTCCACTAACACAGACATCTACAATCTACAATTCATAAAGTATTGACAACTTAAAACCTTACTAGAAAAACAAATTTTACGTAACATGATTATTAACACTAAGCAAGACAATGCAATCGATCGAACTAAACAAGTTACACAGCTACAGATTAGGGCTAATAGAGAGCAGAAAAATTAGTGCAATAGAAACAACTTACTTGAAGTGCTTCATAACATCAAAACCCTTTAGTATGGAACGGTATGACAATGAGGTCCTATTTATACAATAAGAGCCGTCTGGAATTGATTCCTATTCAAATTCGGTTTTCTTTAAATTTATTTAAACTTACCATAATTACTTATCCTAATTTTGGTATAATTCTTAAGTCACCCAAACTTTTTTTCGCCTCTTTTCATCTTTTTTAAATTTTCAGATTAAACGTAACTAATATCCACTTATGGTGGACAGAAAGAATTACACTATCAGCTCATTTTTAGAAATATTTATTTTTTTTAATTTTGATTATCATATTTAAAGATTAATAATTCTTTTAGCTTTGCTTTTTCTTTTTTTTTAAAACATTCTCTATAAATTTAAGATTTTTGTTGGAATAAAATTCAAATATTTTTATACTATGAGTATTACTTAAATAAATTGGAATACATATGAAGGTATATGGATCAAAGTTTATTTTCGATTAATTTTTGTATTTTGGATAAGATGAACTAAGAAGAGAATCGGAAAAAAAAAACTAAGAAGAGAATCGTTGAAGCAATGGAAGCATCTATTCAAAAAAAAATTCATGTTAGAAAGAAGACTTAATAAGTCATGAATAATGTTTTTTATGAAATCAATTAGTCTAGATTTTAAAAAGAAAAAAAATAAAAAGTTATCATTGATGATTGTCTCAAATTGCTTTAATGGTGCTGATGGGGAATGAGGTAAAAATACTGAAGACAAGAAAACATGTGCAAAAGATTTGCTCATTTTTTGACAACCAAGATGTCCGAATATGTTCTCGCAGGGCCGGAAGGAGCGCACGCCAAGTTAGATAGAGCAAAGGGGGGTCCTGTCAAGTCGGCCCGCTAACGCCTTATCTTCCTATTTATAAGCCACAGCCTACTTCGACGTTTCCAATTTGCCATAGAGGGACTGCTTCCTGCGTCTGCGAAATCCTAAATATACTCATATAATTAATTTAGAGATTAAGTTATCTTATAAAACTTTTTATTATTTTTTAAATATTAATAATAAGTAATACATTTTTAAAAAAAATATTTCTAAAAAAGAGCTAATGATGTAAAAAAATTTATCCACTGTCAGTGGTTATAAGTTAATCTATTTTCCTATTATACATTTTTGGTTTCCAAAGGAATACAAGAGCAATAAGTATAATAATGATTTGCTCCAACTTATTTGTTTATAAGGTCTATTTTTTCTTTCATACAAATTTAAAAAAGAAATTTGGCTCGAATTTTATGACAAAAATTATTTTTGCTCAAAGCATCTTATATTTATATATAAGATGTGTAATGTAATCATGTAGACTATATACCCTAATGCAAGCATCATTAGATTTTCAATATAACTTTAGTTTATAATTTTATTATTAATACAATAAGCAGAAGTAAAATTTTCAATAATTCTATCAATAAATCAATAATAAAGAAAAATATTATTATTTAATATTTATGAAGGATAAAGTAGTACATTTGTCTCAATGAATTATCGATTTACCCAATAATCCATCACTAAAACTCGATAACGAATCGATAACCCAATAATTTTTTTTATAAATCCATTAAAAGTATGTTAACTCAATAATACAGTAATATTATTTTCGGTTCAATTTGTTGATTAGTTTGATTTTTGCACACTCCTAGCAATATGTCTTTTTTTTTGTATGAGATAAGGTTAATATGTATCTCTGAATTTTAATTGGTATCTCAACGAAGTGAAATAGATATTATGGTCACAACTAAAATGATACAAGCAAGAAAAGTTGAAATTGAGAAAGTTCTAATTGGTAAAGACTTGTAAATGCATGAATGATCGAGTAATGGTCATCCATGATGCAATTAAAAAGTAATAAACATGATTTTATTCAATTTGAAAAAACTTGATGATTGTGATTATGTATAGGATGTTACTTGAAAAATGCTAAAGTGTGAAGCGTACTTTTTTTTATGACTATGAAATTGTAATTTGAAAAAATGCACATTAAAGGGTTAGTGTGTTAGTTAAAAAATAATTTGTAATTTTATTAAGCTAAGTTGGTGTTAAATTTTTGGGCATGTGTTTATCATTGATAAGGAACAAGGATAAAGTGATAGTAGGAAAACTCTGGCAGTCGGTATAGGTTAAGAACCATAGGGGGAAATGGGTATTTTTGTATGATAGTGAGAGAGTGACATGAATAATATTTCAAAGTGCTACAAGATTGATTTTATGTTAAGGTGGTGCGAGATTCTTATTTATGCATTGATTTGTTGGGGCTTGTCTTGAGGTGTTATTTAAAACAATGCTAGAATTTTAAGGATAAACGTTGATAATTAGGATTGAGAAATGATGGAACCTTGCGAAAAAATGCAATTTTTGGGCTCACCTCGTCGGGGAAACCATAGTGAGGCTTGCCAACTATGGTGATCCAGTTATGGCGGAATTGTTATTTTTTTGCTATTGAGGAGGCCACTGTAACGTTACTTTTGCCGCTATAGCAAAAGGGCGTGATATAATCTCGGTTATGTTTTCCCTTGATTTATTTTTAATTCTCGGGGCATCTAAAATCATTGATACATATAGGAACCACAACAAAAACAATGAAAATTGTTTAGAACATATCCTAACATGCATATACGATGAATAATGAAAGAAACCAATATCCATGCGCTAAATCAATGTTGGTGTCCTATTAACTATGAAAGTATAAAATTGGCATAATGTCCAAGTAATTTTAGAGGCACACTTATATTATACTAAGATCCTATTATCCCCTGAACTTATTTATAAGTAATTTTCTGCCCCTTTTTGCCCTACGTGGCATTATTTTGTGGGGCCAACGCTGATTGATTTTTTTTTACCTAGTGCCATGTAGGCCGAAAAGAGGTAGAAAATTACTTATAAAATAAGTTCAGGGGGTAATAGGACCTTAGTATAGTATAAGTGTGTCTCCGAGATTTCGGGCATAGGTTAAGGAGGTACTTGTGTATTTTCTCTATAAAATATCATAGTAAATAGACTATTTTGATCCATTATCTACTTAGTTTGCTTCATTTTGCATTAAAAGTAAGTATTTATGTTTACATCATATTTTCATAGGCAACTTCAGATCATTCTGATCGTTACAAATATGATTTAAAATTGCATTTGAAATTGTACAAATAGTTTTCCTCAAAACCTAATCACAAAAGATAACTTAATTTCTGAAATTTTAAAGAAACTAAGCCTTGAACAATTGAAAATTAACAGGAGAGAAAAGACATAAACGTACCATTGAAGTTATGTTCCGAATTTTCAAAAAAATACTTTAACTTTGTAACTATTCTATTACCCCATTAAACAATTTAGAACATATATTATTATACCATTTTTTTTATCAGACCCAAATTTTAAGAAGCAAATGTGTTCACAGACCAATCATTACATGACACCTGTTAATTTAATTTAAAATATAATTTCTTTTTATTTTAAGTTTTTTCTTTATTTCTCACTCTCACTATCTTACTTTTTGAATTTTAATTTTGATATATCTAAATTTCATTTCATCTTCCACCTCCCACTTTCAAGTGATTTATTCTTCCATTTTCTTTTTTTTCTTCACCTCCCACCCCCCATGTCAAATTGAACATTACTCCCACTTTTTTCTTTTCTTTTTTTTCTTCTCCAGTCAAATTTTTTATAGAATTCATATTATTATTTAGACTTTATTGAATTATTGATAACAAAATTAATTATTTTTCTAAGAAAATTTAAAATTTAAAATGTATCATCAACACTACACATTTCATATAAATTTAAAATTAGAAATGATAATTTTAAAAAAATCAATTAATTTCCCAAAAACTGAAGGAACTTAATTGAAATTGGATTAAAAAAACTATATGATAATTCCTAATCATCTTGAAATCTAATGGGTTTATCAAATTTTTTGAAATGTAAGAAAATATCTATATAAAGTTTTAAAATTTAAGAGAGTACAACTAATAGTAGTAAAAAGAAAAAGGAAGGTGAAGTTGTGGTAAAAATGATGACATTGAAAGTGAGATGGCAATGCATTTTTGAAGAAGAAAAAGAAGAAAGAGAAAAAATAAAAAGGGAAAAAAAGTTAAAATAATAAGAAAATATATTTTATAATAAAATACTTGTAAAAATAAAATTATATTAGTTATTTTAGATTGTTCACTCTCTTTGAGAGAGTGCACACCACTCTTTATGTCATGTGGACGAAAAATGATATAATAATATCCATTCAAAATTGTTTAGCGGGTAATAGGAGAGCTCCAAAGTTAAGGTGTCTATTTGAATAGTCGGAACAACTGCAATGGTGAATTGATGTATTTTCTCTTGACAAGAAGTTAGAATGTTCTTACCTTTTTGGTTTGATTTCGTTCAAGAGAGGACATGATTTATTTTTGGGAAAATGCATAAGTACCTCCCAACCTATGCACGAATTTTAGTGACACGCTTATACTATATTAAGGTCCCATTACCCCCTGAACTTATTTTATAAATAATTTTCTACCCCTTTTCTACTTACGTGACACTAGTCTGAAAAAAAATGTCAACACGCAAGATAATGCATCGTAGGCCGGAAAGGGCTAGAAAATTATTTATAAAATAAGTTCATGGGTAATATGACCTTAGTATAGTATAAGTGCATTTCTGAGATTTCCAGCATAGGTTGAGGAGATACTTGTGCATTGTCCCTTTATTTTTAATGGTTTCTTAGTAACAATTGGGAAAGATGGTGTATTTAAAGAGTAAGTAATTAAATAATAGAGAAACAATTGACATATAATGATATTAAATTTGTTTTGAAATAAATGTTTCTCATTCATGCTCGTCATCTACAAACAAACATAGGGAGAAAACAGGTCAAAATGATATATTTACAAAGGTATTTAATATTTTTGGGGGTGATAAGACCACCACAAAGTTAAGGTATCTTTTCGTAAATTCAAGAGAACTTTTGTTGTCAGTTTATGTCTTTTCTCATCTTAATATTCATATGTGTATTCATATTCATATATCTAAATAAAATGCTATGTCTAGTCAAAGATTTCTATAAACATAATAGTTCATTGATTCCATCCATTTATAGCTACCATCATCACCCACTATTCGCAACTAGTGTCATAGTCCCCCAACATTATTAACTATCACTATCAAAAACCACCATCATTTTCCACATCACTACAATAAGTTTTCACCATCACACAATCAATCATCATTACTACAACAACCACCAATCACTACGACCATCTCCAACCTTACTCTATTTTGACCATCTCCAATCTTACTCTATTTTACTCCCATTTTCTATATCCGGAGAGTAAAATAGAGGATGTCCTCTCTAACCACTCTCTATTTTACCCTCTATTCTCCAATTATATAGAGTTGAATAGTAGTTTTCCAAATTTGGAGAACTACTATTCATACTCTCTATTTCACTTTTTGAATATTATGTTATTATTTTTACTTCTTTTTTTTTTTTGTAATTAACATGTTTTTTATACAAGGCTATTAATTATATCTCTAATATATGCAATTCTTTTTAAATTTAATATAACTTTTTTAAAAATATTTTATTTTATATACTACTTTCATCTCGAATTAATAATATTTTAAATATTTTTAAATTTTCTTCACTTTGTGATACACTTTGATGTTATATTAATTTCCACCCGTGACGGATCTAGGAATTTAAGGTTGTGAGTGCTCTAAAGTGAAAATATAAAAATATATGTTAACAGTGAGATTCGAACCTTGGTACAACAACACTAAAAAAGTCTTAAGTACTCATCTAGGAGCCATTGGGCCAACTAAATCATTTATTCATTGGGTGCTCTATGTTAATTTTATACAAATAACTATCAATTTCTACATAGATATATATATTCCGTAACGAAATTAATGGATGCTCGAGCACCCGGCGGACACCATGTGGGTCCGCCTCTAATTTCCACTATGAAGAATGCACAAAATTTAAATGATAAGATAAAATTTTAATTTAAAAATATAATACATAACATAATAATTTATATACGAGATAACAATAGATACAATGCATAGCATAATATTTTTTAAAATCACAATAATAATTGAGTAATCCGCTAAGTCGTTTCTAGATTTAACAATATTTGAAAAAGAAATTAGTGTATGATTTAAATTAGTTGTGATTGTGATTGTGGTTGTGGTTGTTGATTTCTTTTTTCAATTATTCGTAGTTGTTCTTTAGAAATTTAGAATAGTATATAATTTAATATTAAATAAAAAATTTTAAAATTAAAATTTTATATTACATAAAATTATATAGGATGATTATTCATTAAAAAAATATTTATATTATGGAGGAAATAGAAAAAATAATATAATATTGAGGAAAGAGATTTTTTTTAGAGAGTAAATAGAGAATTGGGTTGGAATTGGTTGTTTGAAAAAATAGAAAACTCTATATTTGGGGAGTAAAATAGAGTGTAGGGTTGGAGATGTCCTACCATCAATTGTCATTATTATCGTCAATCATTGTCATTAGTCACTACCACTATTTGCTATCACTTTCATATGTCACTACTAACTACCACCATCAACCATTACTATTAAACATTCTCACAACTAATTACTACTCGCACAGCCACCATTAGCCAACATCATTTCTAATCGGCACCCACAACCGTCATCACTTGCCATCTCCTTCACCAACAACCATATGAATGATGTTAATTATTTTGTATATAAATTTTTTACAACATTTTAATATTTAGATGTGTATTCTATTCAAATATTTAAACCTTAATACATATTTCAATATTCAAATTTTCTGATGATCTAACCTTAATAAAAATAAACGAGGCCTGGTTAAGCCTTGATTAGCCAAAACCAAGAGGACGAATAATTTTTAGGACAAATTAAAGAAATACACATATTTTGTTTCACTTATTTTCATTTCCCTACTACTTTTAAAAGTATCCAAAATCTCTTATTTGTTTAATGTATCTGAGCTGCATATTAATGTATCCTAACCAGTATTTAATATATTTGAGCTACATGTTATGTATTCAGGCTAGTTTTTAACGTATCTGAGTTACATATTAATGTATCTGACTTAGTATTGAATGTTTCCAAGCTACATATTATGTATTTGAGCTAGTTTTTAATGTATCCAAACTACATATATATTAATGTATCTAAGACAATATTTAATGTATCTGAGTTACATATTAATGTATCCGGACTTAAATTATTGTATTCAATTTTTTTAATTTTGAAGGGATTAATGTATTTAGAAACTTATTAGGGATAAATTATAATTTCATATTAAAAATATATGATTTATGTAATTTACCCTAATTTTTAACTGTCATGTGTGGTTAATTATACAATAATCCTAGTCATTCTACTATTGCTCTTAAGACCAAAAAAAACCACAAAAAGTAGGACATTAATCACAATACAAGGTTGATCATGAAAAGTGCACATAGATTATAAAATCATACTTCAAATATCAAGTGCAAATGAATAGTTTTATTTACATGAGTAGTGATACGTTCAAATTACACCTCATGAAAAAAGTACAAGTGGTCCTTGTCAAATAAAGCACCAAACTTTTAAATTAAGATCGATCCCACGAGGGGATATGGTCTAGACTTTAGGCTAACTTACGGTTATCTACCTTCAATCAAACTATTCCTGAAAAGGGGAAAAAATGGTATTTGTAAAGAAAATAACAGTTTATTGATTTGTATCAACGAGTAACAAGTAAACAAGATTCACAGTTTGACATATCAATATGAGATGAAAACTATGAAATAGGTGTTCCCCACAAGCTCTTAATGCAGTATTCCTATAATAGTAACTCTATCCTAATGTTAACATGCAAGGTTGATAAATTAGGTATCGCAAAGTGATTGGTCCTTCAAGTAGGGAATTTCACCACGCAACTCTGTTCGTCTACGAGTTTATGTTTTACTAACCCTTACCATTAACCCAAGATTTTCCTTCGCACTATTAGGGTCAGGCTATTAGATAACGACTAAACACGTCTAAATTCCTATTATTTAATCCATTTCTCATTTGTTACCTCCTTGATCCAAAAAGTAGGAATGAGGCGAGTTCTAACGTTGTGAACTGCTAGAAAGCATTCTAAGCGAAAGGATTAACAATACATGCATCAACACTATATTAAAATTACTTAATTATTAGTCATACATTCTTTATTACTCATGGTACCCATAATCCTAGTTGTGAATTTAGCTACTCATGCTTGAGAATTCACAATTCATGTTACGTTTAATAAGATAAATCATGAACTTACAATTAGAATAGATGGATATCGTAATCTTGAATTGAAAATCAAATGCAAATATCATAAACCAAGCTTTGAGAATTAATTATCGAAAATGTTTATCAAATAATCCTTAAAGTAGAAACAAAATATCCCATAAAGTCTAACAACCCAAAAATGAAAAATACAACTCATATTTGTAGAAACTAAATCCTAAACCAAGTAGGAAAGAAAATTAGGAAAATCCGATCTGAGCGGTTTTGATCGAGGTAACAACGACGGACCATGGATCAGCCAACAGTCTGTGAGTCTCCTTTGTGATTCAGTAGTTGACCGAAATTCTTAGTACGGTTGTAGGTCTATGTGAGATCTATCATGTCTCTCCGTTGTTCAAGTACTAGAACTCATCTTTTTCGATTCAATCGACTATCAGCACCCACGATCTGTTATTTGCATCTGTGGTTCCACACTTTGGTCAGACTTCCTAGAACAATTGACCCATGGCTCCCACTAACTACTTGTCAGGTGAATGACAAAATGTGAATGAGCTCGTAGGTTGTCAAATTCCTGTTGGTTCAGCTACATTCAAAGAATTTGACTCAACTGTACTGCTTAGAACCTTCTTTTTGGAGATATATTCATTAAAGTTCTAATTATCAAAGAAGTATTCGTCATAATTCATTCTAATTTTGGCTTCGTTATCATCAAGCAATTTTTTCGATATATTCACAAATAGAACTTTCGGGTGCAATATAATCTGATAACCTCAAACCTTATCCTTTCGATTTAGTTTTGAAAACCATAAAATCGTACTGAAGACTATGTTGGCTAACCCTATTTTTGCAAGATTGGGGACATTTGCAATATGGACCACACTCATGAACAAGAGGATCTGCTTTAAGAATAGAGCTTCTTGGGTTAAATTGAAACTCGTCTCCGTTCTTAGAAGCATAAGAGAACTACGCAAAAGTCGAGCATCTACTTGTGCAACTGCAACATTAAGCCTAATGATATAATACCAATCATGATATTGCATATTCGTTACGTACGTGAAAGGTGGGGGTCTCTCATCGTCTACTTCATTAATAGAGAGGATTGGTATATTCTCATCCGTTGTGCGACATCATAGTCCCTCACAAACTTTGTATGTATAGTAGATTCTGTTAGTTTGTAAATATTTCACAAATATGATTGACATTGACTAACTGAGTAAGTTTTGGTTGGCCAGGATTTCTTTGTAGTTCAAACTTGAAAACGTATTTTCCAGTTGGACCTCTTTCTTGCCAACACTTAGTCACAGTGTACAACCCATAGTAAATGTATTTTCGCTCGGTCTTTTCACTATCAACTCTTGGACGACCATAAATAACTCTCACTGAATATCCCAAATCCATTGAGTTCTTCAAGGCAAGATTATCCCTTTCAAGCTTCTGATCTTCCACTCTCGCATTAACAGATACTCTAGGATTCCCTCCTTGACCTACATAAATGAACTTTTCAGAAGATATGGTCTCATTCTCGTATCGACCAGAATCAACAATGCTAGTTGCAACCTTTTTATTATCAATATTCACATAATTGATACCCCTAAAAATTTTATGATGTAGTCCAACCATCGCAAGTTCTACCCTGAACCGGAATCGATCACCAATTTCAACTCCAGGAACATGGCCAAAGGCCCACTCAGAATTCACCCACTTTTCCTGATTTCTCAAAATCATTGCAGCATTTATATTGATTATTCTTTTAGAGTGTTTTCCTTGTTTTTCTACTTTCTTTTCTTGAAAAAACTTAGTATATTCATCAGCAAAAAGTTTGAGCGTCTCTCTAACTTGTTTTCGTTTCTGAATATGCTCATTTTCAGAAATAGTGGGCAACTTAGATCTATTTATACTACGCCCACCATTTAAAAACCATTCACATCTTGTATAAGCTGATGAAATTTTGGGAACATTCAACTTATGATTAATCAGGACATCATGTTGTTGAACATTGTTTTGACGAATAGATGGACGATAATTTTCTTGAAAATTGTTGATGCTATCAACTCTTAGGCGCTTAAGTACCGATAGAGATCTAGTATTAATCATTTGATGATGTCTCTTCTTCTGTAACTTCTTTGAGGTACTTGTTTCCACCGGCACAAATGACATCTACAAGTAATAGCAAACAGTTTTACTAAAACACAAACACACTACATTATTATTAACACCGACAATGCAAGGCGCTATGAATGTTTGGATCAAACGTGAAAAAAAATGTTACATCAAAGCAAAAAAAAATCATAAAATAAAAAGAATACGACCTGACAGCAAAGAAGAAGAGAAGTTATACTCAAATTAGGGCTAAAGAAGAGCAAAATTGTTTGGGTTAATGTCATATTAAACAATCAACACTCCACATTAAACTTATGGTCCTTATAATTAAACTTTTGCTGCAAAAATAGTCTTTCAGTAGTGGAACAATTTTCTCTAAAGAAAGAAGAAAAGGGGTTGATTTGCTTTGACGAATTTAAAACCGATCTTTGAAATGTCATTATTTCTCGGCATGTCTCAGAAGTGTTTTCAATGGTCTCACTCAGGGAAAATCTACTATAGTTACAGAATTGAAAAAGTTCAAGGTGTTATTGTATGAATTAAAAAAGTATGTATGTAAAAATAATTTATTTCGAATGCTCAAAAAATAAATAGAATTGTTAATTAAAATTTTAAAACTAAAATTCTTTACTTTGGTTTTGACCTTACCCAAGATGGGTCCAGAAAAAGTCATTTAAGAATATAAAACAATTGCAGAAAAATAGAAGGAATAACATTAAGCGACATGGGGAGGAAGAAAACTAAATAACTTCAGAATATCCAGAAAAGAAATAACTTACTTTTAAGTATGAATCAAAGTGTTGACTTCTTAAGATTCAAAAATTTTCTAAAACCAATTGCCCAAAAATATTAGAGGAAGATGGAACAAGGTGTAGCAATAGCACAATACTAAGCTCCTATTTATACTAAAAAACAATGAGGGTAAAATTAGGTATGCAATTGATTTTTATTGAGATTGTGTTTCATTTCATTAATAAATTTCCAAGTAAGTCAAGTATAAAATTAGAAATAATAAAAGTAAAGGCTAAATTAGGTGTGCAATTGATTTTTATTCAAAAAAATTTTTACATTAACAAGTTTCCATATCAAAATACAAAATTAGAAAAATAGTAAAAGTGAAGGCTAAATTAAGTATGCAATTGATTTTTATTCAAATTATATCCTTAAATTAATAAATTTCCATATCAAACAAGACAAGTCAAATATAAAATTAGACATAATGAAAGTGAATGCTAAATTAAATATGAAATTGGTTTTTTATTCTAATTGAGCTTCTTTAAATGAATAATTTTCCATATCTAATCAGGTAAATTAATTGCAAAAAAAAAAAGGAGTTAATACCTCAGATGGTTACTCAACTATGCACTCTTTTATCCACTCTTTCCTCAAAAAGTCACTCAATCTATTAAATTGTTATTAATT